GAGAAAATAGGAAATTAATCCAAAATGGGCAGAAAAGGAAAATCCTAGCACAAGCTTAAAATGGTTTGAGAGTTGCGAGCTGTAGCAACATATAAACAGAATTAGCTAGGTACATACCCAACCTCAACTGGAAAAACAAGGTTCCCTAATTCATCCTTGGCATTAGGAGTTTGAGGATGAAAAAATTGTCACAACAACACTGTGACTGTGTTACATATACCAATTAACCCCATCTGTAAGTAAGCAGAGTGTCATACGACAAACAATCAATATGATAAACTTACAAAACAATTGTAGGAGCAGAAGTATGACAAACTGAATCTGGCATTACATGATCATGCTGTTGACTAGACTCAACTATAAGAGCAGGATAATAGCTGTAACTGGTATTACGGGCAACATCAAAACTCACCCAACTGTAAATGCAGATAGGAGACATCTTGCATCTGGGATTATGAGAAGGACATGGAACATTTGCCCAACCATAGAAACAGTGCCCATACATCCTTTTGTTGGTATTGAGAGGCAGATGAAGTCTCCCAAACTCAATTGTAGAAGCAGGGAAAGAACCTTGTGCAACAGAAATTAAGGAAAAGAGAGGCATCCAATACATCCAACTGTAGTAACAGGGCACTGTAATCCCAAACCTAGCATTGCAAGGAGGATCCCATAGGTCGGACCTGGAAAAAAGCATCCAGGGGAAATGGAGGCGGGAAAGCCAGTATTGTCCTCTTCTCACTGAGTGGATAATTAGGAGTAGGGATGGCAAAGTAAAATCCAACCTCACTCAGCAGAAAGCCTCCATTGTTTTCCCACATCAGCAACTCGAAAAGAGGAAGTGGAAAAAGGTGGAAAATATGTTGGGAAGTCTAAAGGAACATCACACTGAAGAAAGTTCAATGGGTGTCCATGATACACTATTTTGAAAAGCAGGCCAACCTTGATTTATTCAATCAAAGGGTTGGCAAGGATGGGTAGGAATCTCCTTGTACTTTACTCATGAAGTACATGAGTGATGGTCCATCAGAGAATTAAATATACTGATATCTGGTACATATATATAGATACCACTAGGCAAGCCACCAATGGTCTTGTGAAAACCCCATTTCTACAGCAAGCATTATATTGCAAACAGTAAATAGTATTTGTTTGAGGCACGGAATATCCAATCAAGCAACACCCACCACAAAGTGTGATCCCTATAATAGTGGTTCATACTGGTTTCCGAAAAGAAAACATAAATGAAAGGAAGTGATAAGATTTACCCCAGTCAGAGGTGAACGAATGTGTGCAGCATAGCCATGGGAGGAAGATACAGCCAGATCATGTAGACAATGAGCAACAAAGGTATTGGTAGTAGTCCACATTCCAGCCTTAACAACCTTCTCCAAAGGATGATAAAAACAAGCAGCCAAGGACATAGTGATTTGATGAACTTGATTAGAACAAACATTGTGGAGATGTTAATCTTCAATAGACAAGTTCAAATACACCAGTCTATGGAGTTTATGAATAAACCCAACAATTGTGAGTGACATTGACAAATCATAGGAAATGGAAGGATTTCAGGGAATAAAAAGTTGGAAACATGAACCTCGTAAATAAGAGTGTGCCAAATAACACCTGTAGGATCAAACCAGAAAAAGAAGCCTATCTGGATCAGAATGTAAGAACAGGTGGGAGATGGACTGCAAGGAAATGATTGAGAAATCCAAACAACCTTTCTTGGCAGCATAGGTTTTAGAGAGGAAGGACCAGTTGGGATAGAGAACATTATAATAGGAATGTTAAACGATTTGAGAAACATTAATGGAATAAACATCTATATGATGATGTGCACAAGCAACGAGGAGAAGAAGGAAATCTGTCTTGAGGGAGAGATGGTACAAGGAATGCATAGACAATGTTTAAAATGGAAAACACGTAAGGGCATAAAGAACCACATTGTAATCCAAATCAGTTGAAAAAAAGGACATGAAAGGATTGGAAAAGGAAAGAAATGACAGGAGAAGACAAATTACAGAGAAATGAAAGGTGTTCGACAGGGCTACTAAATAGCTAGACATGGTCAAAGCAGACAAGCCCATGTCAAACACCATCTGGAAGAATTGGGAAAGATGAAAAACAGATGGAAGAGTAAGAGAGAAACCACGTGAACCTGATCATGGCAGAAGGTTGCAATTATTAAATGGCTATGGAAGAAGATCTGATGGTTCAGGAAACAAAGGATATGACACAAAGATTCTGTTCCTGAGCTGAGACAATGGACATGACAAAAACCATGCATGAAGAAGGAGTTTGGTGAAATCTGGATGGACAACGTCTGATCAAAGTTAATGGAGTAGAGACCAAGGCAGAGGTAAAGGAAGGAGAGATTGTACAAGTAAAGGTCAGAGCAGGGGGAACCTTGGCTGTGCAGGCCAATACGAGGTGGTTTGGATGAGGGTAAAACTCTGGACAGAATGTGAATAATAGGGTAGGCATAGATGTGAAGACACCTCCAATCCTGACAAAACTGGGTGTGGAATGGGTGACTAATATGAAGGAAGTTTGGTGTTCCATTGTGTGGCAAAGGCATTAATATGAGGTGTTTCCCATTGAGAACACACCAGCTGAAAGACATGAGGATGGAAGGACCACTTCATTGAAAGAATCTGATTGGGATGAAATAATTGATCCACAACCAGATTCACAGCTTCAAGAACATGGTGAGCTAAGATCACCATGTTGTGATTGTGAGTTCAGAAAAGGATATCCAGAGTTTAAAAACAGTGACCTACATTTGGTTCCAGCCTGCTTGGTGATACAATTGGCAACAGTGAAATTCTCGGAGTGGATATTAAGCCCCCCCCCCCCACAGGAGATGAAGGAAATGGGACAAAGCCTGAAGAACGGTCATCTATTGGTATGAAGGGCAGACTGCTCGACAGACCACAGACTAATAAATCTCTCAAGAGTCAAGGAAAACACCCATACCATCTGAAGATGCATCACTGGACTGGTATAACTCTGGATAAGTCAGAGGAAGTGGAACTCCTCCCATGGTCTTGTTCCTGTCAAGCCATTAAGAGAAGTCAACTCTAATAGCTGAAGGAAAGGTAGCAGGGTGGTCCAAGAGATCCAAGGAAAAGCTCCAGTGAAGGGAATACATATGAGCTTGACAAATAGAAATGAGAGTTTCCAAGTAGTTTCCACATCCTCAAAATAGAACCTATTGAGCTGTTAGAGAATGTAACTTGAGGGCCATTGTAACTGTTTGCTCCATGTCCCAAAGACGAAGAGGAGAAGGCTGGGCCCCACTGAGGTTGTAATTGAAGAAAATCTCCAAATGAATAAGGTATTGAGTGGGGTAAGAATAGACATTAAACCCATCTATGTTGCTTGTGTTTCTATGACTGAGGACTGGAAGAGGCGAGCAGGAGCCAGTCGTCCATGTAATCATGAGTACAATGACCCATGGAGTGAAGTTGTAAGGCAATTGTTCATACTACCTGACAAAACACATAAGGAGTCGATGTTGGTCTAATGGTAGAGCCCTGAACTGGAACACGCAACCCTAAATAATACAGTGCTAGTGACGAAAGGGAATATTGAGTAGGAATTGCTCAATGCTATTGGTGGAGAGTAGTCACATGATATGTATAGGTTCAGATATGATGCAAAAGTTATGGGGTATACAGACTGGTATGCTGATCACATAAATTATTTTAGGAATGCTTAGAGGACAAATGAAGATTGAAGAGGAGAAACTCTATCTGTTGTTATTTGTACTTAGAAATTAAAGTGTAAAGTGATAAAATGGCAACAAAGTGCTTTTAGAATTTGAAAGAAATTTTGCCTCAAAATTAATAGGAGAACAGTACTTGTTTCTGTAAATGAAACATTGATAAACTTTCTAACTGACCAGTTTTGTTATCTTTCTGGTTCTTCACGTTCAGAGAGTGTACTGCTGTCATTTATTTCTATAAATGTAATTATCCTGAACAGTAACAGCCTATAGAAACTGAGACTTGAATAATCCCAAATCTCTAGTCATTTAATTTACCATACTGAAGTCAGTAATGAAACAGCCTTTAATAATACCTAAAGTTGATAAAAAAATGTATAGATAAACATTTTAGTTTAGTATTGTTACGACAGCGGTAGTCACATGACACTGGTAGCACATTATGATATTCTAGAAGGATCGGAGAACATCACTAATAATCCAGTATGTGCTAGGCGCCCTCTATTCCTGTATATAAATGTGCTGGATAATGTTAGACAAATTAATCGGTATTGAATTGCAGACAGGCAGAGATAAAGACGGACAATTGAGTCAAGGGCGGTAGTGACCGTAAGTAAGTGCGTGAATCATTGTGAATTATAGTGTGTGTTTAAAGTAACTGTGGAAATTAAGTGTATTACAAAGTTGTATTGAGAAAGAATAAACTAGTTTTATTTAAGAAAGGACTTGTATCACTAAAGTTTCATCCGAAAGAAATTATCTGGGAAATTAACAAACGACCAGTGGCATAACAGTATATATCTTGGCATGTATAAATACTCATTTAACACATACTGAACATTTAAACAGGAACTATAAAGTATTGATGTTAATTAACATGTTAAAGTAGACAAATTTATAGAATATATCGTGATAATCGCCACTTAAAGTTAGAAAATACTAACAGTTAATCCAGAAAGGCACTGGCTGAAAGTAGTGTTGGTTGATTTACACTGTACTATCATATTTTTACAGGAAGTTTTAGATGTTGTCTACTAAAAACATCTCTTGCATATGGTACGTTACCAACAGTTTATGTTTTTAATGCTATTCTGTTCTTGGTAGAATATGTTTTTATAAATTTTAAACTTAGTTATATATTTAGTATTTCTGTATTAATATTTGTGTTGATCATGTATGAACATTAAAATATATTTAGATGTTCATCAAATTAAGTAGTGTATGATATATTTATTATTACCTTATTTTTTGACATCATTTATATCTACTTTAGATAAAGAGACCAGTGGGAACATCTGTAGTGGAAGTCAGTTTCCTGGTTATGTAATAAAACAAGAAAATCACTTTACAGAAGACGTAAAATCCCAAAATAACAATATTAGTGGAGAAACAAAGTTAAGTGGAAATAACCTAAAAGCATCTAACATACATCAATGTAATGATAAACTCTACAGTTGTAGAAAAACATTTGATAACCTAACACAACAAAAGAAGACGTATCCTGAAGAGAAACCATATCAATGTGAAGTGTATGGAAATAATAACTTAAAAATACATCAAAGAATACACACTGGGGAGAAGCCATATAGTTGCACAGATTGTGGAAAACAGTTTAGAACAAATAGTAGTTTAAAAATGCATGTGATAATACACACTGGAGAGAAACCTTACAGTTGTACAGTGTGTGAAAAACAGTTTGGAAGAAATAGTGATTTAAAAGTACATGAAAGAATACATACTGGGGAGAAACCTTACAGATGCACAGTGTGTAGAAAACAGTTTGTTGCTAAAAGTAAGTTAAAAACACACGAAAGAATACACACTGGGGAGAAACCTCACAGTTGTATACTGTGTGGAAAACAATTTAGAACAAAGAGTGCTTTAAAAGTACATGAAAGAATACACACTGGGGAGAAACCTCACTGTTGTACAGTGTGTAGAAAATGCTTTGTTGAAAAAAGTCACTTAAAACAACATCTAAGAAAACACACTGGGGAGAAACCTCACAGTTGTATAGTGTGTGGAAAACAATTTGGAACAAAGAGTGCTTTAAAAGTACATGAAAGAATACACACTGGGGAGAAACCTCACTGTTGTACAGTGTGTGGAAAACAGTTTAGAACAAATAATAGTTTAAAAAAGCATGTGATAATACACACTGGAGAGAAACCTTACAGTTGTACAGTTTGTGAAAAACAGTTTGGAAGAAATAGTGATTTAAAAGTACATGAAAGAATACATACTGGGGAGAAACCTTACAGTTGCACAGTGTGTAGAAAACAGTTTGTTGCTAAAAGTAAGTTAAAAACACACGAAAGAAGACACACTGGAGAGAAACCTTACAGTTGTACAGTGTGTGAAAAACAGTTTGGAAGAAATGGTGATTTAAAAGTACATGAAAGAATACACACTGGGGAGAAACCTTACAGTTGCACAGTGTGTATAAAACAGTTTGTTAAAGAAAGTTACTTAAAACAACATCAAAGAAAACACACTGGGGAGAAACCTTACGGTTGTACAGTGTGTGGACAAGACTTTGGAGGAAAGGGTCAGTTAAAAGTACATGAAAGAATACACACTGGGGAGAAACCTTACAGTTGTACAGTGTGTGGAAAGCAGTTTGGAGGAAAGGGTCAGTTAAAAGTACATGAAAGAATACACACTGGGGAGAAACCTTACAGTTGTACAGTGTGTGGAAAGCAGTTTGGAGCAAAGAGTCACTTAAAAGTACATGAAAGAATACACACTGGGGAGAAACCTTACAGTTGTACAATGTGTGAAAAGCAGTTTGGAGCAAAGAGTCAATTAAAAATACATCAAATAATACACACAGGGGAGAAACCTTACAGTTGTACTGTGTGTGGAAAACAGTTTGGAACAAACAGTGTTTTAAAAATGCATGAAAGAATACACACTGGAGAGAAACCTTGCAATTGTAAAGTGTGTGGAAAACAGTTTAGAAGGAAGAGTTATTTAAAGATACATGAAAGAATACACAGTGGGGAGAAACCTTACAACTGTTCAGATTGTAGAAAACAGTTTGTATCAAAGAGTGCTTTAAATGTACATGAAAGAATACACAGTGTGGAAAAACCTTACAACTGTACAGATTGTAGAAAACAGTTTGTAACAATTAGTGTTTTAAAAGTACATCAAAGAAAGCACACTGGAGAGAAACCTTACAGTTGTACAGTGTGTGGAAAACAGTTTGTAACAAACAGTGTTTTAAAAATACATGAAAGAATACACACTGGAGAGAAACCTTACAGTTGTAAAGTGTGTAGAAAACAGTTTAGAAGGAAGGGTGAATTAAAAATACATGAAAGAATACACAGTGGGGAGAAACCTTACAACTGTTCAGATTGTAGAAAACAGTTTGTAACAAAAAGTGTTTTAAAAGTACATCAAAGAAAGCACACTGGAGAGAAACCTTACAGTTGTACAGTGTGTGGAAAACAGTTTGTAACAAACAGTGTTTTAAAAATGCATGAAAGAATACACAGTGGGGAGAAACCTTACAACTGTTCAGATTGTAGAAAACAGTTTGTAACAAAGAGTACTTTAAAAGTATATGAAAGAACACACACTGGGGATAAACCTTACAGTTGTACAGTGTGTGGAAAACAGTTTGTAACAAAGAGTAC